GGCTGTGACGCCTGTGGTGGGTCGTGCCACGCTTGGTTTCGACGCGGGTGTCAATGGGCATGATGAGGTGCTGTGCAACCTACGTTCTCTTCAGGAGCAGTGATTAAAAAAAAACAAGTGCAGAGCAGGGCTGGGGTTTTTTTACAGCCTTGGGGAGATTTCTGGGTTGTTCTGGCAAGGAAAACAAGAGGGCCTTCAGCAGGGAAATCTGAACTGAAGTGACCGGGCGCAGATGAATAGTCCTCTTGTCTCAGGTGGTCGGGCTGTGGGCAAGGAGCCGATGGGTGTGGAGAGCCCAGGATTAACGACAGGAGAACGGTGGCCTTCATCAGATCTTAGCCTCCTCATCATATCCATCCTCCCTTGTCTCCTGCGTGCAATCATCCAAAATCACCCCAGCGCCGGCGCTCCCCCGTGCAGCTGCTTTTCGAGGTTGGGCTTAATGTTCCCAAGGTGCGGTGACTGCCCCGTGCTTGGCCACAGCCGGGCGCTGAAGACCTTTTGACTTTCCCCCCGAGTTCATGTGGCCACCTTGGGAGGTCAGCAGCAGCCTGGAGGCACCTCGTGCCAGGCTGGCGAGCGCTCGTAGGACGGCAGCTGCTGGAGCGGATGATGCGTAGCTGTGCAGACGCGTGATTCCTCCATCTCCTGCGGGAGCAAGGAGGGGTCTCCTCACCCCAAGCTCCAGGCGAGCTGAGCTCGCTGCTCATCTTCGCTTTCCCTAACCTGCTGGAAGATCTCAGGCTGTAGACGTTTGCAAAATCACAGAATCACAGAATGTTAGGGACTGGAAGGGACCTCGAAAGATCACCTAGTCCAATCCCCCCACCAGAGCAGGATTTAATGCAATTAACCCTGGAGATACTCAAAGAGGAGAGCGTGGTGAGGTGAGACTTGGCTCTGGTGTGATGGTCCTTGCCCACGTGCCCGGACCAAGCGATGTGTTACGAATGGGCCTGCAGCGAGGTTCCTCCATGAACTTGAACTTGTGACTCCGAGGGTGCCGCTGGTTGAGGTGGACTGAGCTTTGATCTGAATTTATTTTTTAAAATTTTTTATTTTTGCAATGGGGATTCTTGGCTTTGAGTTTAGCTTCTCTGCTGGCCTCTGCCAGTTCCTTCAAATTTGCACCAGTCCAAGGGAATAGCCCAAAACTAGCACAGGCTCCTCAAACCTAAGATGATTCTTCTGCAGGGGAATGGAGATGACTTCGTAGAGTCCTAATCGCTCTGCGATAGCTCTGGGCAGCTTCCGAGCTGCTCCTCGGGGTGTAGGAACCCTGTGGAGAGAGCTGTGGTGCCTGACTCCTTCCTCCCCTCCGCCCCTCTCCCTTCCAGCAACTGAAAGAACAAGCCAAGACCCTCTCGTCGGAGATCAAGCAGATCGATTTGGACGTTAACCGCACCTTCCGGAACCACATCATGTTCCGGGATCGCTACGGGGTGAAGTGAGTGGGCGAGGCTTTGCGTTTGGGCGCCGGTGGGTGGGAGGAAATGAAAAAAAAAAAGAAGGCAAAGCTGGGGATCTGCCACTCGGGTGTTTTCATGTCCTCCTTTCTCCCCAGGCAACAGGCTCTCTTCCACGTCCTGTCAGCGTACTCGGTTTATAACACTGTAAGTAGTAAGTTAGTCCAGTTGAAATGAGGAGCATTGTGCTGTTTTATATATATATTTTTTAAAAGCTTTGTGTATGCGTATGTTTGTGTATACACCCTCCCCATTTAACCAGTAAATCCTATTTTAAGTCCCAGCGCCGATTTGTACAGACCCACAGGCCCCGCAGCCGTTTGTAGCTGAAGGGCACGGGGAGATTAAACCTAAATTAGCAGCTGAACCAACTGTCTCCGTCTCCAGGAGGGGACAGTCACCCCAGATTGGGACTTGGGACTTAGTCAAGGACACAAGAGAACGTTCCTTCCCTCATACCACATAAATACGTTACCAGATTCGTTTATTCTTTAATTCCTTCAGTGCTCCTGTGGCTGAGGGAATCCAAACTGGCCGTTTGTTGTCCCCTCCCCTGTTCCTAGAGGTGGTTGCAGGCTTGGAGCAACCTGGGCTGGTGGGAGGTGTCCGTGCCCCTGGTGGGGGAGTTGGAACGAGACGACCCTGAAGGTCTCTTCCGACCCAAAAACCGCTCTGTGAGCTGGTGACACGGTGGATGCCGTAGACTTATGGGAGCTGTGAATTTGGGCACAAGCGATAAAAGAGACAGGACGGACCTTGGAGAGGAGAGGGAAGCGCGGGCAGCTGACAGCTCTTGGCTCTTGCAGGAGGTGAGCTACTGCCAAGGGATGAGCCAGATTGCAGCCGTCCTCCTCATGTACCTGAACGAAGAGGACGCGTTCTGGGCGCTGGCGCAGCTGCTCACCAACCAGCGGCACGCCATGCACGGTGAGGCTGGGCCGGGGGCGCGCGCACTGTTCAGGGCGGGTGGTCGGTCACACTTCCTTTCGCAGAATCACAGAATTGTTGAGGCTGGAAGAGCCCTCTGAGATCATCAAGTCCAACCTGTGACCCAGCCCCACCACATGGGTCAGGCCAGGGCACCAAGTGCCACATCCAGCCTTTCCTTCTTCTCACATACTTCTTTAAAGCCTCAAGCGAGGCTTAATTAACGCGCTGATTTAGCTGAAGTGCTCATGTTGTTTTACTTAAAGATCCTTCGGTCTTCCCTGGGGTTAACGCTGCTCTGTCCCACACAAGGGCTGACTTTCTAGGAGATTTGCTCCACAGCTTTTCCTAATCTTTTTTTTTTTTAATTTCTCTCCCTTTTTTTCTTTTTTCTCCTTAAGGTTTCTTCATCCCTGGCTTCCCGAAGCTGCAGAGATTTCAAGCCCATCACGAGCAGATTTTAAGCAAGCTGTTTCCCAAACTGAAGAAGCACATGGTACCTCTTTGCCCTCAGCCTCCCCACCCTAACGCCGCGCTTTTAACGCTAAAGCCATTTGCAACACCTGCTGCCTTCTGGGTTTTTTCTCACCCCTTTTGCCCCCTTGCATTTGCTGTAGACACTTGGTATTCGGTGATTGAGCTCCTGAGGGTTTCTTCTGCTCCCAAGGGGGTTTAGTGGCCCAGCTCCAGAAAAAGCAGCCGGCATCTGCGACAGCTCGTGCTAGCAAAGCTGGCTTAGCTGTGCAGGGCTGGATTTCCCCACAGGAAACTTGATTTTAAGCATCTTTGTGGTGGCCAGGTCCTGCACCCGGGCCCCGGCATTGATAAACCTACCGAAAATCCTCCCAGCCGTGCTCAAACCCCGCCCTGAGCTGCCCAGACCTCCAGCGGTGGAACACTCATGTCTCTCTCTGCTGTCTCCTCCTAGGACAAGGAGCAGATGACGACAGGGATTTACACGACCAAGTGGTTCCTGCAGTGTTTCATCGACCGGGTGAGAATGCTCCGTGGGTTGGTTGGTGGGGTATTTTTTGCCGCGCTGGATTTTGCATGTGCAGTTAATCCTGTTTTTCTGAGGGGGGGGAAAGTATCATTCGTTTGTAAAAGACTGGAGGCACAAACCTCAACAAACTGAACGGCAGCAGCTGCCGGCGAGGGAGCGGGCTGGACACCGACGACACACGAAAGCTTGAGAAAATTACCCCAATTTGATGAGAGTCAATTTGCCAGTCCCAAGCCAAGAATATTGTATTTTTAGGGGCATCGCTAAAAGCTGGATAAAATGCAAAATCCCTTTAACTACAGTAACGGCCAGTCCTGCCGAGCCCTGGAAGTGTGAGCACGACATCTTAAATCTGAACTGGAATGTCATGGGAGGACCAGCGTGGATTTCTGTGTTAGGGAGATGCCTTAAATCTGTGCTTGGGTATTGGTTTGCTCCTGTTTCTCCTTTTTCTGTATCGGTGCCTGGGTTTTAAGTACTTTCCCAGCCAGCCAGGGGAACTTTAAGACAATAAAATAGGTTTTCGTGTTATAGATGAATCCTGGACATCAGGGCCTTTCTCCATGGTGTGTTTTGGTTGCCACTGACCTTTCTGTCATCATCCCGTGGATC